TTTTTTTGTCTTTGGGCTATTAAATTTTTCACCATCCGTGCCAAAACAGGAACCAAAGTAAGATGAATTGTCATCTCTCAAAAAGACTCTTTATTAAAATTAGTAAATAAGATGTCAGAATTTTTGGTTGAGTATTCAGGAGTTAGATCTTTGCGAGTTCAAGGCTACCGTAGTCTATCTGAATAACAAGTTCCAGACCAGCAGAACTACAAACCCCATCTCAAAAATAATACAGCTAGATTAAAAAAAAAAAAAAAAGTTCTAAGACTGGGTTTTCTATTTGTTTGTTAATCTTACTATATAGTATGTAGTCTATAATGGCCTCAAATTGAAGAACCTCTTGATTCAGTCTCCCGACTGCTGGGACTAACATGCTTAGACTGGGAGAGAAGTCATTAATTTTTAAAGAAATCTTCATAACTAAAATCAGTACACAAAGACTAGAAATGTAGCCCAGCACTGAGTGCTGGCCTAGCATATGCAAAACAAAATTCAGTCCCCAGCACCATGAAAAAATAAATAGTAATAATGCTGGCATGAGTGTCACACTCCTGTAATCTTAACACTTGTGAGGCTAGGCAGGAAGGAGGTCACAGATTTGCCAGTCTGGGCATCCTAGCAAAGACCCTGTCTTAGACTTTAAAAGGGGGCCTGGTGGTGGTAGGTTATAGCTCACTTGCCTAGTATGTCCAAGGCCCTAAGGTCAGTTTCCAGTACAAGGAGTGAGAATCAGAGAGAAGGAGGGAAATAAAGTGACTATTAAAAATAGTTTTGAGCACAAGCAGTTTTATATTCCACACATAGGCCCCCTTCATCCAAATGTGTGTTCCAAAGCCCCACCTTGGATGCCTCAAACCATAGAGAGTACTGAAAACTACATATATATATATATATATATATATATATATGTATATATATATATGTATATATATATCTCATATATATATATATATATATGAGATACATGTGTATATATGACACAGTACAGTTCTCTGGGTAGAGAGGTAGGTAGGATCACAAATTCAAGGCCATATCAGGCTAATAGGCGGGCTCTGTAATATTGAGTATTACACCTCAAAATATGTAAGAAATGTGTTCATTTCTGTAGGCATTGACATAAAAGTGAATATTTAATCCCAAGAGAAAATCCAGTTATTTTAGTTGAATTAATGAACACTGTTATTTGAACATTCTATTGGAGATTATCTATTGTGCAGTGACCAGTGTGCAGCATTGTTCCTTTTTTAAACATTCCTTAATTGGCAATATATGTTAAAAATTAAGGTGGAGAGGTAGAGTACTTGCCTAACATATACAAGGCCCTAAAACCGCACACCAAAAAAGTTAATATTTTCAGGACTTTGTTATCATTGCCATCTGTTTTGCAGTGCAGGGGGTCAACTCCATCACCTCATGCATGGTAGGCAAGCATTCTACCTTTGAGTTCCACCTAGACTGCCATGGTTTCGTCTGCATAGGTACTGAAGAAATGATGCCATCTTAGCTGTAAAGTTGATAGAACATGAAGATGAACAGCCAGGGCATTCCAGAAGACGTGGTAACACCATGCATTTCTGTCTGTCCCATACAGTGACCACATCGCAGCTCAAAGAGGAGCTCCTGGATGGCGAGGATTATAGCTTCCTTCAAGGAGCATCTGACCAAGAGAGCAACGGCTCTGCCACCGTCTACATCAAACAGGAGCCTTGAGGCGGCTCAGAAACTAAGGGTGGGAGGGGCTGTTGACAGGACTGATTTGTAGTCATCCAGCTGCACAGCGAGCTATTCTACTGGGACATTTTGCTAAACACAGAAAAGTTCAGTTCCAGATTTTTCAGGTGGGGGGGAAACTATTTTGGTGGGGGGGGCAATTTTTCAATTTATAAAGATGAACGATTTTTGTGTTGTATTTGAAGCTTTTGAAAGAATTTTGTAATATTTTCCAAGTTTGGATTTATGTGCATTGTTAACAAGAACTGAAATTCTAACTTTTTTGGTAAGATAAAAGTTTAGGTAGCGGGATTGAAGGAAATGATTAAGAAGGATATAGTTGTAAATGCAAATGAACTGTCATTACAAATGAACCTTCTTGGTACCTGTTGGGAGATTTTTGGATTTTAGAGTTAGGCCAGTCACATCTCCAGCTTCCTTTGCTGTGGAAATATGCAACTGAACCCCTCGCAGAGGGCTCATCACCATGTAGATCACGGAAGGGGTCATTAATTGTGCTCGCTGACATTTTATTGCAGCCCATTTAAATATTTGTACAGAAATTTTTTCATTTTGCTAAAATTTATTTGGAGTTATATATGAAACTAGGAGAACTCCAGATACTTTTATATGCTCTCCTTTAAGTAAAAATGATTAAAATTTTCTAACACTAAAGTGTTAAACTGGAATGATTGACAAGATACACAGGATCTCAGTCTATATAAGGGGTTGGGGAAAATGAATGTTTTCCTATGTTTATTCTGTTTTCCTTGTTAAAGAACATCCCACAGAAGAGACATTCTTATCAGACCTCTGCCGTTTCCCTCCGTCTGTGAGAGAGCAACTTGATAGAACCACACCTGAAAACAGATGTTGTTCTGTATTGCCAAGAAAAATCAAAGGAAAAAACTATTAATGGAAATAAGTGTAGATTTCAGAATCATTCCAGCTTTACTTTTAACTGTCTGTCAAATTAGAAACTGATTTGAAAGAAAACTTGTCTTAAAATTCCATATATATACATAATGAGTTGTCTTTAATTGTAGTCTGAATTTATTTAACAGTAACTGATTTGGACCATTTTAAACATTCCCTATTTTAAAATTCATAAGGCTTTCTTTAAGAAATAGGATAAAAGGGTAAATTGGTGAAAGGTTTGCTCTCTGCGTTTTCTAACCTGCCGAGTTGTGACTGGGTAAGAGAGCTCTAGCATTTACCAGTGGGTTCATAACTATAAACTCTCAGGAATTCATTGCATCTGTTCTAGAAGTGCTTCTGGGTCTGAGCCTGGCCTCTTCAGAGTGTTAATACTGCCCATTTCCTCTGGAAAATAGGCAGGGCTAATGAGAAATTAATCAAGATGATTAACCTCTGTAGCCCTTCAGCCTATGGAATGCTTTAAAAACAAACAAAAAATGCTAATGGAAAACCCCAGGAGACATTTTAGGTAAGATTTTTGTTTGACTTTTAAATGCATAGAACATTTAAAACCAGCAATTTATTTTCTAAACTATTGCTCTACTTTTGGGAATAATAGCATTGGTAATATGCACAGGTTTACCTCATTCTATGCAAGAGGGTTAATAACATAAGGTTTTGTAGTAGCTACTGGAAGTAAGGTGTGTTCCTTTTTAGTGTAAAACATGTGCGGAATCGCATGTCACCATTTCTTAATACTGACTCTGGGGGCTAAATGCAGATCACATCAATGCAAGTTGATTCTCATGTCAAATATATGTGAATTCAGCTGTAAAATTACTGGATATTTATCTTAAACAACATTGCTGAGAGGGACCTACTGTAAATGTGACATCCTCACACTTCCCAAATCTTTGACTTTGAAGGATCTTCCCAGAAGCTTAAAGCCTAGAAGAGGTCCAAAGCAAAGGTCATAGCAGTCTTTATTCTCAGGCTCAGCGGATTAAGCCCAGGGCTGTGCTTCCATGGTACCAGCACAAGAAGCCTGTTCCGGGGTGCTCTCATACCTTGGGTGTAGGAGCTCTCCAAGGTGAACTAACTGTAACCCAGGAAGGATGTGACTTCAAGCCAGCCAGTCCTGGGAGTTAATTCTGTGAAATGCTCATTTGTAGCCAGGTTTTACAAGCTTCCAATTCTACACCAAAACCAGGCTTGGTGTGTTTAGAATTTTCCCACCTACGTTCATAAAGTGTTTGTGTTCACTAACAGTGAAGGGTTGCTAAAGACTTGTTAGAGTCTGAACATAACCCAAAGCCCTCGTCTTTATTAAGACCCTCCCTCCTGCTGCTAATATGGAAAGTTAACCAGAGGAGGCTTCCATCGTAGCCATAATTGCTGTCGTCATACAACTCAGTAGCCATGTCCTCTTTCACAGTTCAACCTGTACTGCTGACCTTGGGTTTGTTTTGCTTTCTGTTAGGAGCCTGGGAACTTTTAGTAGTTTAAACTTTTTAACCTTTTCCTTGCTGTGTATGAGGAAAGCTAAAGCTGTTATCAACTTCTTATTTTGCGGATACTAACACGGGTTTTCAGTGTTTGTTTGTTTTTATTATTAATTAATTTTGTGTGATGTGAATACCCTCGCCCATCAATATTTGTATTATGGTGCTATATATTTGGTAATGATCCTTTAATATTGGGGAGGGATTTTAAAATACTGTGATTAAACTGGGTATCTTCCTTTGATTTTCATATTTTAAATAAAGCCACAGTCATTTATACAAAAAAAAAAAAAAAAATGCATCTGTCCCTGGGCAGACCTTTCCAGGACAGAGGCCAAAGTAAAGTACATAAGGTTTTTACATCATTTCCGTGTGCGTTTGATATATAGATCAATATCTGGACAAATTTAATCTTTTATTTTCTGGTAACTTGTGATTATTGAGGAAGTGTTTAAAGCTTTCTCATGGAATGTATATAATGGCGTGAAAAACTCCTTCAGAGAAATTTATGTTCTTTTCATTTTTACCAAAATGCAAATTTTCAGCATGGATGTGAAAAGCATTAAAATTATAACTTTGTGTACAAGATGAAAATAATTCACTAAATTTGCCCTTTTTTACACAAAATAAAATGTTAAAGTTAAACTTTATCAGTTTTTTCAACATTTATTTTGTTTATTAGGGTCCTCATCTGGGTTCTAGAGTAGTACTCAGGTTGTCAGATTCAGCAGCAATCCCCTTCCTTCCTTCCCTCATTCATTTATCCCCTTCCCTCCCGTGTGTGTGTGTGTGTGTGTAAGTGTGTGTGTGTGTAAGTGTGTGTGTGTGTAATTCAAAGGATAACTTTTCAGCTTTCAGGAGCTGATTCTTTACTGTGGGACCAAGAATTGAATTAGTCAGGCTTACCCTATATACCTCTCCCTGAGGCTATGTGTAGTCAAGACACAGTTAGTTATACAGCAGGTAGTAGAGTGTGGCTGGGTACTCAGGTGAACCTTCCCACCCCTGCATGAGGGGCTGTAGTCACACACAATGTGAAGTAAAGCAAGGGTAGGCACTGTAAGAAGAAACTTATACTGTCTAGCAGGGAACCAGAGGACACAGGTGGATGTTCATGGGTAGGCAGCAGTAGGGCCACAACTCGGAGCAGGAGCAAAGGTAAGTGCATGCATTTGTGGAGAAATAATAGTCACTTTATCTCGAACATTGTGCTTTAGGGCCCAGGCTCAGTGGGTGACTGTGTTTGTGTCAAGGGCTGGGGGTCCAACTCGGGGGCCCCAGGCACACTAGGCAAGTATTTTACCAGAGCTATGTATATCCTCAGCCCTACTTGCTTCAGCCCTACTTGAACACTTATATGGAGTGGTTTCCTCACTCAAGTAAAACTCCAGTAGACATCATCGATTTCTTCTAATTCAGATCAGTTTTTATGAAGAGGGAGGTGGTTAATTATGACAGCTGCACTAGAAGGTAGTATTAGACCTCTCAAAACTTGCAAGAATCCAGGACAGGCAATTTAGTGAGAATCCTTGTCTTTAAAAAAGGAAAGGCACAGGAAGTAAAGGGTGTCTCCTGTGGAGATGGTTCTGCAAGTAAAGGCACCTGCCACTGAGCCCAGGACCCACATGGTGGAAGGAGAGAACCAGTTCCAAAACTTTTGGCTTCTCCTGCAAGATGGAACTTATATGTGCCTCATGATAAATAAGGACGCTGGGACTGTAGAGAGGAAGTGGATTTGATTTCCCCAGCATCACATAAGATGCACATAGAAGATAAAACATGTAGGCAGGAATAATGTGGATGGCTACCAAAGTGAAACTCTGTCCTTTGGGGGGTTTTTTTTGTTTGCTTGGGTTTGGTTTTTGTTTTTTCAAGACAGTGTTTCTCTGTGTAGCCTTGGCTGTCCTGGACTCCCTTTATAGACTAGGTTGTCCTCAAACTCACAGAGATTTATTTGCCTGCCTCTGCCTCCTGGAGTGCTGGGCTACCAAGCCTTGCTTTTTAAGCCTACAGCACCTGGTATTCCTAGTCTCCCAACCACTAAGCAGGCCTAATCCTGCTTCCAAGATCAGACGAAATCAGGCACATTCAGGGTAGTGTGGCTATAAAGTCATTTGGGCTTTTCATTAGAGTAATTAGTAGGGTTTAGGAGCTGTATACATGGACAGGCAGAGATGTTTTTGTTACATCAGTGCCAATATTCAGTGCAGCAGTAGACATTTAAAAGAACATTAGGGGCTCAGTGCTGGCTGTTCCTCCGGTGGTACTGAACCCACATGCAGTTGACAATATAATGGGATCCTCTTCTGGTGTGCAAATGGACATGCAAACAGAGCACCCATACACATTAAATATTGTCTCAGCTGGGAGTGATAGTTTTCACCAACGTCTCTCGTTTTGAGCTAGGGTGTCAGGTGTCCCAGGTTGATCTCAAACTCACAACCTTCCTGCCTTGGCCTCCTGAGTGACAAGACTAGATGTGAGCCACCAAGCCCAGGCTTTATCAGTTTCTGATTGTCAGCAGGCACCTGCTTGTTCTAAGCCAGGCTCTGAGAAAGAGAAGTGATAAGAGTTGTGCAAATCCAGAAAGAATAGCCCTAAAAGTGGGACTGCTTCCTGTCCTCCTAATTATTACTAAATACCCCATGCTGATGGGTGATAAACACAAAAATCTGCCATGGCAGGAGGCATCATCAGTTAAGAACACATACTGCTCTTCCAGAGGACCCAAAGTGGGCAACTCAACCACCTGTGTCCCCATTGTGAGGTCACCCATACATCCCATTACAGGGGAACGTGTTAGGAGATGGTCAGTGATTGAATGCACTCGCTGCTTTTGCAGAAGACCCAGCCTCAGTACCCAGCACCCACGTGGCAGCCTCCGACTTCTGTCCCCTAGACCCACACATACGTGCAGGCAAAACCCTCCTACTCATGCAATTTGAGGGAGGGAATACCGGGGTACACAAGCTTTGGGCTGGCAATACATCACCTGCTCCCTCTTTAACCCTTCCATGTATCCTTTTACCTTTGTCTTTAGACTTTCTGCTAATGAAGACATACATCTACTTTGTTTCGCTGTTACAAGTTTTCACACACCCATCTTGCAGAAATGCACATTTCCCTAATACAATTTGGGATGGTTCTTTCCTCAGACAGCATCACACTCTTAACTCCACCCTGCTACCTTCCCTGTGTCTTGATCCTTTCTGTGAAGATGCAGAGGACTCTTCACAATAAATAGGACTACTCTGTTAAATGCTGTCATAGACTAGGAACAAAACCACTTCTTATGGTTCTAGCAAATGAGCACAGGACACTGCACCCAGTTCCAAAGTCTTTATTGTTTTAGAAAAGATGATCCACTCAGTGGTATGAAGAGCTGTGTCCAGGGACCCGCCAGTAGTGCTAAGAAGGACCCCTCTATTCATACACCCAATCGTGGGCACAAGGCTTGTAGTCAATCAGTTCTTCAGGCTTAAACCATAGACGGATCTCTTTCTCAGCACTTTCCACCGAATCACTGCCGTGAATGATGTTCCTAAGAAAGAAAGCTCACTTGTTATGGTGTTTTAAACTCTATTCAATAATTAACAGCATGGGGCAGACAATGTAGACCTTATCACCTGACACTGAATAATTACATTCCCCAAGTATGTCAAAATTGATTACGGGACTAAGAACTCAATGTGTGTGTGTGTGTGTATGTATGTATATATGTGTATATATATATATATATGTATATATAGAGAGAGATAGAGAGAGAGAGAATGCTTGCCTGGACTATATGAGGCCCTCCACTGAAATCTTCAGTACAAAATATAGAGCTAAAATCCACTAGCTACAACGCGACTGCTCGGCGGTTAAAAGCACTTGTTCTTGCACAGAACCCAGGTTTGGGTCCACATGGGGGTTCACAGTATGTATATAACCCAAGTTCCAGAGCATCTGATGACCCCTTCTGACCTCTGTGGACCCAGCATGTATCATACCTGGAGGCAAAACACTCCAAAAACCTTTAAAAATCATGCCAAAAAAGCACACAACTAAAGGCGCTTGAATAAAGAGCCTTAACTCAATTAAAACTTCCAAGTTTTCCCTTCAAGAGTAATTATGACCCAAGACTGGTACTACTGAAAAAAATCTCCTCCTCAGTTTCCTGAAAACAGAAATAGGCAAGCCTCCAAAAGCCAGACAAGAGCCAGTCCTGCCTCTTTTTTTTTTTTTTTTTTTTTTTTTTGGTGGGGGGTTGAGGAGGCCTAGTCCTAAATTTCCTGTGCTGTTAAAACTGACCTAGAACTTTCTGATCCTCCTGCCTCCACTTCCCAAATGCTGGGCAACAGTATGTACAGCCTTAACTGGTTTTGTTTTGGGTTTTTTGTTTGTTTTGGTTGCTGTTATTTTGTTGGAGAAGTGGGAGGTTCTTTCTTTGAGACAAGGTTTTTTTGTGTGTGGCCCTGGGTATCCCATAACTCCTAAGTAGACCAGGCTAGCTGCTAACTGAGTTGCCTTGCCAAGGATGTGCTGGGATTAAAGGCATGCACCACCACTGCCTAAGAGAGTTCTTAGGAGTTTTTGTTATTTTCGGGGCTTTTTGGTTTTTCACGACAGGTCTCACTGTGTAACTGGCTGCCTGGGAACTACTATATCCCTGACTCTCCAATGTTGGGATTAAAGGGTGAGCCACCATGCCTGACTTGCATTTTCTTAAAAGTGATTTGCAAACCAAACCATGCCATCCACTCTTCTTAGCAACAATCTGTTTATAACACTTGAATCTACAAAGTTTGAGTGCAAATTATGGCTGAGGGAATCAAAGGGTTAGGTGTTACATCCATATATATAGCAGTGAACTAGGTGAGGTTAAGATTAAAGCCCTTTGTTTCCCACAGGAAGCACCACATGCAGATCTGTACCATGTCTCAGTTACAATTTTTAAGCAATCATTTATGAAAGTGTTTACATTTCCACCTTACACTAAGATTAGGTTTTTCTAACCTTGGGATATGCCCAAAATGTGGTATATTCTACTTTCAAATTAAGTTTTATTATCACCCCCCCCCCCATATACACAAATACACACACAACCTTACCTGCCAACTTGAATGCAGAAATCCCCTCGAATGGTGCCTGGCTTAGAATCAGCTGGATTGGTCTCTCCCAGCATCACTCGGCCTGTTTTCACCACATTGAGCCCCTCCCAGACCTTGACAGGAGAAAACACAATAACTTGAGAAAGAGCCATTAAGGGCAAACACACCTAATGACTGATCCATCAGTGAGATCAATTTATGACATTATGGTCAGATAACCTCTGCAGAGAGCAGGAGCCCGTGTTTCAAATTCATTTCACAAGTAGGACACAGGAGAAGACTACTCACAAAACAAAAAAAAGTGAAGAGAGGTCAAAGTCTGGAGAAAGATCAGGGATCAGTGGGAAGGGTCTAAGGGCCTACCTGGGAAGGCAAGATTTAATTGTAAAAAGAAAGAGAAGGGAAGGACTAGTCTAGGAACAGCAAGCACTCTACAGCAATTTCAGTGCCTTTTCCTTGCTCTCCACCAACCATCCCCACGGGAACATCAAAGCCACCCAGAAGATAATGCACTGGCAGTTCTGGACCAGAGAACTTTTGCATCGCATATTACATACTTAGAAATACTTTTCTAAGCCTAGGAAACATTGTGGTCAAAAGTACTTGTCAGCAGCACTTGGGGAGTTTGAAGCCACCCTGGTCTACAATGGACAGCTAGGGCTACACAAAGAGAAATCCTGTCTTTAAAAAAAATAATAAAAAATACTTATCAGGGGGCTGGAGAGCTGGCTCAGTGGGTAAGGGCACTAGCTGCTCTTCCAAAGGACCCAAGTTTGATTCCCAGCACCCACGTGGCAGCGGACAACTGTAACACCAGTTCCAGGGGATCTTGCACAGACGTACATGCACAGGGAAAAAAATACTTGTCAGAAATAGTGCTGCTTTGAAAGCAGGCTCGTCCTACAGAGATTTGCCTTAAGCTCTGAACTCTGCGTGTACACGCGCACAAGGGAGTCCTGGTGCCTGTGGAGGCCCGAGGCATCAGATTCCGAAACTGCGGGGGTGTGAACCAGCTTGTGTGGGTGCTGGGAACCTAACTCCCCATCCCTGTCAAGAGCAGCCTGAGCTCTTAACCGCTGAGCTCTCTCCAGCCCAGAGTTCTAAAATCTGATTTCCTTCCCTTCCCCCACCCCCAAACACCTAGTTAACTAACTCCTGCCTATCTACAGCCCCGGTACTAAAGAGGTTAGCAGATGGGAGTCCCGGGCCTGACTAGACTGCAGAGAAAGGCAGTCTCGAAAGAAAAGGGCCAGGGTAATTCCCGTTTGGTCCCACCCAAGCACTCACCATGGCCACCACAGGCCCTGAGTTCATGTACTTCACCAGCCCGGGGAAGAAAGGACGGTCTTTCAGGTCAATGTAGTGCTGCTTCAGGTGTTCTTCAGAAGCCTGGCAGATGGAGGATCTCATTAGAGAACAGACTAAAAAGGCTTAAATATGGCTGTATCCCACCCGAGGGTTGGGGATGGAGGGGGGGCTTTCCAACACGGCAGGTTCTTAATTCCAGGTTTGGTATTTCAGTACATTCAGAAACACCACTGTGGCAGAAAAAAAATCTATACTGATCATATAAAGGCACCCTTGGGCTGGCAATGTGGCTCAGTAGTAGAATGCTTGCCCAGCACGGGAGAGGCCTTCTGTACAGTCTCCAGAACCAGTTTTGTTGTTGTTGTTGTTTTGAGACAGGGTTTCAGGTTTTCCAGGCTGTCCTGGACTGACTTTGTAGGCCAGGCCTTGAACTCACAGGGATCCACTGACTCTGCCTCTCAGAGTGCCAGGATTACAGGCATGTGCACGGCTTCCAGCACCAGTTTTTAAAAGAACGACTCCGAGGAGAAGCTCAAGTACAGGTACACAGTGAATCCTCAGGACCCCCCACTTAGAGAGGAGAGGTAAGGACGCCCTGGAAGCTCACTGGCCAGCTAGCCTGGAGGACGTAGCAATGAGCAACACACTCTCAACATGGAAGGACCAATACTCACACATAAACACATCATGCAAAACACAAAGAGTAAGTGTTTACACAATGAGCTGAGCATTATAGCTCATGCCTGGAATCCCTGCACTTGGAAGACAGAGGCAGGGGGAATCACAAGCTCAACGCCAGCCTGGGATAGAGACCTTGTCTTCAAGACTCAGCCAGGCACGGGTGGTAGTGGACATGTCTTTAATCCCAGCCAGACGATCTCTGTGAGTTCAAGGCCAGCCTGGTCTACAGAGTGAGATCCAGAACAGCCAGGACTATATGGAGAAACCCTGTCTCAAACAAAAAAAAAAAAAAAAAAGACTCCTTATTGTCAGTGATTTGAGGCAAGATTTAGATGTGCCAGTTAAGAAAGCATCACGTTCCCCTGGTCAGTTGAGCCTTTTAAACATTTCAAATAACTTAAAAGATTTATGGCCAGGAATGGGATCACACGACTTTAATCCCAGAGCTTGGGAGGCAGAGGCAGGCGGATCTCTGAGTTGGGGGCCAGCCTCGTCTACAGAGTGAGTTTCAGGACAGCCAGGGCTGCACTGAGAAACCCTGTCTTGAAAAACAAAAACAACAAAACAGATGTGTATGAGTGTTTTGCCTGCATTTGTGCCCGGGGCCCAGAAGGCCAGAAAAGAATGGGTTCCCCTGCAACTGAAGTTAGAGATGGTTGGGAGCCAAACCCATGGCCTCAGCAACAAGTATTCTTAACTACAGAGCCCTTTCTCCAACCCCAAGAACATCCTTTCTTGTTTTCATCTTGAGACAGGGTCTGTGTAGCCCTGGTTGGCAAGGAAACTGCTGTGTAGACCAGGCTAGCCTCAAACTCAGAGACCTGCCTGCCTCTGCCTGTGAGTCACTCCTGTTTTTCGTTGTCTTTAAATTATTATGTGCATGGGTGTTTTGCCCTGCATGTACATCTATGCATCCATCCTGTGCCTGTCTCACGCCCAGAGGCGGGAAGGGGGTATGGGATCCCCTGAGACTGGAGTTCTGAGCCACGTTGAGTGATGGGAATTGAGCCTGTCCTCTGCAAGGATGAAGCGCTTTTAACTGGGCCTTCTCTCCAGCCCCAAGAACAAAAACTGATGCCCTTTGTTGAATTTCAGTAGAAATTTAACGTTAAAATAACCTTCATTTTCTTTAGACTGGGTCTCATGAGCCAAGGCTGGCCTCCAGGTGTAACCAGTGGTGACCCCGAATGTCTGATCCACAATCCTCTTATCTCTACCTTCCAAGTACTGAGATCTGAAGGGCTGGGATCCAACTCAAGACCTCATGTATGGTAGGCACTATACCGAATGAACTTCAGCTTCAGCTGGTGGCCACAAAACGTGGAAAATAGCTACTATCCTAGGCCAAGGAGGGACGCCGCCTTAACACCTCGCCGATCTCAAAGTTTCGGCTAAAGCACAACAGGATTGCAAGACCCCACCCTTGCACAGCGTGAGTTCCATGCTCTCTCCACTCCTGCCGACCCCGGAGAAACACAAGCAGAGTCTGCAAGGTGGACAGGACCTGAACAGAACCAGCCCGCAAAACCAAAGGGAAGCCAGGCCCTGGCACCGGCACCAGTCACGTTACCAAAGCTTAACCTTCCCAAGGGCGTCTGTCCTCCCCGGCCTGGGAAGGGGGCCAGCGGGCCACCACCGCCTGGTGAGGGGCGGAGGTCAAAAGAATTCTCCTGGGAGCGAAACCAGCCAAAAGGGCTGACTCGGACTCCAAAGGAACACCTGGACAAGGCAATGGAGGGAGGGCAAAACTCCCACGACCCAGCAGCAGAGGGGTAGGGAGCGAGGGTTGCGTTACCCGAAGGAACTTCATGGCCACCAGGCGGAAACCCTTCTGCTCGAAGCGCTTGATGATCTCGCCCACCAGGCCGCGCTGCACGCCGTCGGGCTTGATGGCGATGAAGGTTCGCTCGAGGTTGGCCATGGTCCTGGGGGAGCGAGAAGCGCAGTCTAGGAGGCCTGGCCGACCCAAGCCGGCCCAGGAAGCCACGTGGGCTCCCTCCACCGCCGCTGCCGCTGCGGAGGACACGTGGCTTTCCAGATGCTTCGGCCCCGCCCGGGAAGCCCAGGAAAGGGACCGCGGGAGCCTGAGCTGGGGTGATGTTGGGGTGGAGAGTGCAGCCCAGCCTTACCGAAATCCGACGGGTCAGCCGGGGTGTGCGACGAGCGACGGCAGCAAAGACTGGAGAGCGACCACCAGCCGGCGCGGGGTAGGGGAGGAGGGCGGGAGGGCGGGACGCGGGACGCCACACCCCGGAGGACCCGCTGCCCAACCCGGGACGCCCAGCCAGCCTGATCTGCCAGTTGTCTCTGTCCCCGCCCAGCGACCCGCGGTACACGCCCTCTCCTCTCAAGGCTACCGAGGGCCGTGAGGCAGGAAGTGATTTGTTCCCCACCCAGGTCCGCCTGCGCTTTGCTGCTGCAGCCTCCAACACGGAACCGGGTCCTGGATTCTATTTTATTTTATTTTATTTTATATTTTTATTAATTACAGTTTATTCACTTTGTATCCCAGCTATAGCCCCCTCCCCCGCTCCCTCCCTATCCCTTCCTCCTTCCCTCTTCTCCTATGCCCAGTCCTAAATTCTTAATCCAGGAGACATCTGCATTCACCTTTCCCTAGGGCACTGACGCACAACCGGACTCTCCCTGCCTTAGGGTACCGGGAGTCCTAACCTCTGAAATTCAACCCTCTGTTCCTTCCCCTCTGCTTGAGCTTTTAGCCTTTCTCAGCCAAAAACTGACAGCTTCCCTAGAAGCCACGTCTGTCCTCAGGCCCCTCCTCAGAAGGCCACCTGTTCCTGTCTCAGAATGACTTTCAAATTCCTAAGATAACCATGCCTTCTGACACCAGGATCTGCTCCTAGCTCTCTGTCTCCTCACCTACCTTTCCAGCCTCCATCAGCCACCCTGTTCACACCCAGAGACTGGATAGCTGCCCACAATTGCCCTACCGGCTGTACCCACTTCAACCTGAGACTCCCCGGGGAAGATTCAGACTTCCTGTAAATTAACAGCCTGCCCAACTAAATTGACCAAGGGTCAATTTAGTATATGAGACTATCTCAAAATAAAAGAAGCAAAGCCAAGTGTAGCAGACGGCACATGCCTGTGCTAGCATTTGGGAGGTGGAGGCAGGAGGATCAGGAGTTCATGAACAGTCAGTGCTACACAGGGCAGAGTCAGCCTGGTCTGTCTCAAAATATACAAAATGAGGGGTTGGAGAGATGGCTTAGCAGTTAAGAGCACTTGCTGCTTCCCATACTTGAGGTGGTTCACAACTGTTAACTCCAGTTCCAGGGGATCTGATGCCTCTTACATCCAAGGACACATGCCTTTATGTGCACATACCCACATGCAAAACACACACACACCTACACATAATTAAAAAGATAAAAATATATCTTTAAGAACTAACTATATACAGGGGCTGGAGAGATGGCTCAGCAGTTAAGAGCACTGTCTGCTCTTCCAGAGGTCCCCAGTTCAATTCCCAGGAACCACATGGTAGCTCACGACCTTCTATACTGGGATCTGATGCCCTCTTCTGGCATATAGGTGTACATGAAGACAAAGCACACATATACATAAAATAAATCTTATTTTAAAAATACACACCTACACAAAGTGAGGGGCTGGAGTGGGGTTGACCCTTAGCACCACGTAAATGGAGTACGGTAGAGCATCCTTGGCTACACTGGAATTAGGGGCCAGCCTGGATAAGGAGGGTTGAAGATTGAGCTCTGTGGCAGGCCCATTTGTGTAGCATGCACAAGGCCTTAGGTCCATCCAATCCCTAGTCCAGAATTCTATATTCTCAGAAGCCAGGCATGTCAACCTGCAGGCGCTCCTCACCTCCTGACTTCTTCACAAGCCACCACTACCCTAAAGGTCCCCAACCCAATGTCCACACCTGCTTCATGTCTATGCACAGAACAACAAAAAATTACAGTGCCTCGAACACTGTGAACCAGATGCCGCTTCTCCCAGTTTAGAGCTCGACCTGGCGTCCTGAACAGCAACAGGAAAGAGGTCTATGGTGCTGCCCAAAACACTCGACTGGCCCAGATGAGTCAAAATGCCCCAAATCCTCCTCCAGCTCCATTCCATCACCCCCGGCTAAGGGTCTGCTCAGACTGAACAAGTCTTTGCTCGCTGACCACAAGGATGAGCAATTTATACTCTACATTTCCTTCATGCAGGCTGTACACTGGGCACCTTGGCCTACATTTTTTTTTTTTTTTTTTTTTTGATTCCCAACAAGAGCACTACAGTTTCTAGTGACTCTAGCCCTGGTTCAATCAAGAGGATAGAGGATACACCCTGCTTCAATGGTTCCCTGCTTCTCTGAAGGAACCAGCAAGCTCTCTCTCTGTTCTCCATGACACCAATACAGAGGCACTCACTACCTGACACGGGAGTCTCCCTCAGTCTGCTGACCTCAAAACTCAGGTCATCACCATCGTGGCTCCAGCCCAACTGGTCGCCTATAATTACTCAGGTAGATAACAGCCCATCATACCTCATCATTGTCCCAAACCTCAATTAACAAGCACATCAAGCAATGCCTGTTACTTGCCCTCCTCATTCTGGGACCATTTCCTTCATTCTCAGTCTGAAGCACACTGATTTCCTGGGTTGGTTGGCTGTTTTTTGTTGTTGTTGTTTTGTTTTTTCTTTTCTTTTCTTTTCTTTTTTTTAAAGACAATCTCACTGCATAGGCCTGGCTGGACTGCACCAGTCTGGCCTCAAGCTTGCTACAACCCTACCTCTTCCTCCTAAGTGCTGGAATTATGGCACATGCCACTACACACTATGTCTGTTTTGGGTTTGGGGTTAGCAAATACCAACTGTCCCAAGAATCTGGAAACTTCATTGGACATCTCTATCCTGTGAAGAGTCATCTACCCCTTAGTCAGGTCACATACCTCCCGGGCCTACAGCAGGAACATCACCCCTTCGCAGGACACCAGCTGAGGGTCAAGCCTACAGAAGACAGTTTTTGATTTGGGGGTAGCTACAACTTGTAACGATTCCCCTTGTAATTTTTGTTTTGTTCTGCTTTGCTTTTTTGAGACAGTTTCTCTGTGTAGCCCTGGCCGTCCTGGAATTTACTCTGTAGACTAGACTGGCCTCAAACTTTGGGATGCACCTGCCTCTGCCTCCTAAGTGCTGGTGCTAAAGGCATGCACCACCTTACACACCCAACTACAATTTCCCATCTCTTCTGAGAGCCTCTCAAGAACAAGATGGGCATATTTCAATTCTCTCTTTTTTTTTTTTTTTTTTTTTTTTTAGACAAGTGCTTGTGGGGTTGGTGATTTAGCTCAGTGGTAGAGCGCTTCCTTAGCAAGCGCAAGACCCTGGGTTCAGTCCTCGGCTCTGAAAAAAAAAAAAAAAAGACAAAATAACAAAAAGACAAGTTCTTGTATGGCTCAGGCTGACCTCAAAGAATAAAGCTAAGGACAACTTTGAAGTTGATCCCACCTCCTGAGTGCTGGGATTACACTGCCACCCACCATGCCCAGTTACTTGGTACTGGGATAGAACCCAAGGCTTCAAGCATTTTAGGCAAGACTCTACCAACTAAGCTATACGCCCAGCTCGGGGTTTTGTTGTTTGTTTTGGTTTTCTGAGACAGGGCCTCACTATGTAGACTAGGCTGACTTTGAACTCACAGACATCGGAGTACCTCTGCCTCCTGAGTGCTGGGTGGCCTGACCACCACACCACACCCAGTTGTTTTATTTTGATTTGATAAGATTTCACTCACTATGTAGTCCAGGCTGGCTCTGTTTCCTGAGTGTTGGGATGGCATGCCTGGGCCAAAAGACTCAGTTTGGCCCTTTATTTCTGATGAATCCTCTGATCCCAGCAGTTTTAATAGCCTCACACATCCTCCCCAGATGTTGCTATCTCAGTGCCATAACCAAAGAGGATGCAGGTGATGAGAAGGGAGATAGGCAAAGAGATGCCTATGTATCCAAGGTGGTAGCTCAAACCACAAGAACAAACAAAAGAATCTCCATGTGTATGTTGAGGCCCATATAAGTAATTTGCAAATCATTTACATCTGTCAGATCAGGTTATCCAGAAGCCAGTGCAAGGCTAGATAGCAACACAAAGTAACTAACTCAACTGACCCAACCCTGGAGATGAAACATTTTAATCTACCAGTGGCACTTCACACTGCACAGGGAGTCGCAGCTCCCAGAGGTTCCTTCCAGGTCCAAGGAAGTTCCAGAAATATCTAGAGTTGCCCGTCCTCTGTCCATGAGAACAGGGTAAGTATGTGGAAAAGCAGGTGCCCTCCCGTCACTCATAGATCCAGTTCTGTGCACAGCTCTTGTAATCCACCAGCTCCTCGGGCTGAAACCACAAGCTGATCTCCTTCTCTGCGCTCTCCACAGAATCACTGCCATGGATGATGTTCCTGGGTGGGGAGAGAGGCAGGATCGTTACCAAACCCAGAAAGATGAACCTGGCCACAGCACCCTGCACTCCACCGCTGACAGCCGAATGCCATGGCAGCAGAGAAGCCAGAGTCCCAAGTACTTCAGGCATGGCGAAAGAAAGGCATCAAAAGGATGACTTCCTGTGAGTGAGTGGCCCTCCCGGAAACACCAGAGTGCGAGCCTTTAGGAACATTCCAGCCAGGCTCTACATTCAAGAAAGGTACAGTTGATGGATACAGACAAGGAAGCACAGGTGACCCTCCAAGTCAGCTTCCCCCTTCAGAGACAGGAAGATGAAACGCCCATTTAAAAGTGACCGGAAAGAAAAAGAAAAAAAGGAAAAAAAAAAAAAAAGTGACCTGAAGGGGCTGGAGAGATGGCTCAGAATCTAAGAGCACCGGCTGCTCTTCCAAAGATCCTAAGTTCAATTCCTAACAATCACATGGTGGCTCACAACCACCTATAATGAGGTCTGGTGCCCTCTTCTGTCATGCAGGCAGAATACTGCATACATAATATACATAGATAGATAGATAGATAGATAGATAGATAGATAGATAGATAGATAGATAGATAGATAGATAGGCAGGCAGATAGACAGATAGGATAATGAATGAATGAATGAATGAATGAATGAATGAATGAATGAATGAATGAATGGAGGAAAATAGATACATACATACATACATACATACATACATACATACATACATACATACATACATACATACATAAACTGTAATGTTGACCTGAAACCTGGTACAATGGCCAATTCCTGTAATCCCAGCACTTGAGAGAGAGAGGGGAGGGGCAGGAATCAAGAATTCAAGGATAGCCTCAGCTACATGGCAATTTTGAGGCTAGTTAGCCTACTGGAGGCATCATCTCAAAAAACAAACTAGGGGTGGAAGAGAGGACTCAGAGGTTAGGAGCACCGGCTAGTCGTCTAGAGGACCTGGGTTTAGTTCCCAGCACCCATACGGTGCTCACTGTATCTCATTCTATCTGTAACTCCAATTCTGGGGGGAGGGGCGTCCAATGCCCTCATCTAGCCTCCTTGGGCACCAGACATGAAAGTGGTACACACACATACATGCAGGCAAACTATCCATACACGAAAAAGAATAAGTAAAAAATAAACTTTAAAAGTAAAATAAAATAAATGATAAAATAAACTGACCTGCAGATGATATATCTATTTCTAGCCTCAAAGCCCAAATTCTCCTAGCGAATAATTGAATTTGGGAAAAGGGTGAAACATCAGTTCTTACCTGCCAACTTGAATGCAAAAGTCTCCTCGGATAGTCCCAGGCTTAGAGTCTGCAGGGTTGGTCTCTCCGAGCATCACCCGACCTGTCTTTACAACATTCAATCCCTCCCAGACCTCCAAAGACAAGAGAAGATACAGTCAAAAGAGAACACACTTGGTAGAAAACCTGGCATCTGATGATTCAAAACAAAAGGCTCCAGAACAGGGCCCTCTCATTCACCAGACAAACAGAATGCCTTCTTGTCCCAGTACCCAGATCTCCTGGTCACCCTGCCCTCCTATCCTCCCAAGATCCATGCAGATCCGTTCACCTGAAAGCCATGTCCTTTTGAAATGGTAAATGTTGCTACTGAGGTAATCCCACCACCCAGAAGTAGAGGGCAGGTGGATCTCAGTAAAGCCAGCCTGGTCTACATAGAGCGTTCCAAGATACAGCCAGGGCTACATAGAAAGATCCTGTGTTGGAGACCCCATGATATTGGAGATACCAGAGTCATGGGATACCTGCCAAGAGAAAGAGGCATATGGGTGTGGAACCAGCTCAAGACAGAGAAGTGTGTGCAGTCAATAAAACTGAAAGGGGGAGATCTGAAGAGAGCTCTGACGTCAGATATAGAGATGTACAGTTTGGAGTTCGTCTTGCTTTGGTCCAGTATTTCCTTCCTATGTTCCCTTTCCTCCCTTTTGGAATGGTAATGTATATTCTGTGTCATTGTATCTTGGAAGTATGTGATCTGCTTTTTTACTTTGATTTTGCAAGAGGTGACAGTTAAGAGATTGCCTTGAGTCTCATAAGAGACTTGGAACTTTGGGCTCTTATTTATTTATTTATTTGCTTGTTTGTTTGCTTTTGGGTTTTTTGAGACAGGGTTTCTGTGTAGCCTTGGCTGTCCTGGACTTGCTTTGTAGACCAGGCTGGCCTCGAACTCACCGAGATCTGCCTGCCTCTACCTCTGCCTTCCCCAAACGCTGGGATTACATGTGTGTGGCCATTCCCAGCAAACTTTGGACTTTTTTTTTTTAATTATGCATACAGTCTTCTGTCTGGATGTACACCTGCACACCAGAAGAGGGCACCAGATCTCACTGTAGATGGTCGTGAGCCACCATGTGGTTGCTGGGAATTGACCTCAAGACCTCTGGAAGAGTAGCTAGTACTGTTAACCTCCAAGCCATCTCTCCAGCCCCTGAACACTATGATAGACTATGGGGGCTTTTAAAGTTGGACTGAATACTTTTTTTTTTTTTTTGCATTATGGTATGGTTACAGGCCTATGGGGACCAGGAAGTGGAGTGTGGTAGTTTGAATAAGAACAGCCCTTATAAGCTTATATATTTAAATGCTTAGTCACCAGGGAGTGGAACTTCTACAGAAAAACTAGGGGGTGTGGCCTTGGTGGGGGAGGTATGACCTTGTCGGAGGAAGTGTGTCACTGGAAGTGGGCTCTTAAGCTTAAAAGCCCAAGCCAGGCCCAGTGACTCCCTCTTCCTGCTGCCTTCAGATCAGCTACTTCTCCAGCACCATGTCTGCCTATAGGCAGACAGATATGCCTGCCATGATAGTAGTGGACTAAACCACTGAAACTGTAAGCAAGCCCTAATTAAATGCTTTCTTTATAAGAGTTGTCATGGTCTTGGTGTCTCTTCACAGCAAGAAAACAGTGACTCAGATAGAACCCGTCTCAAAAAAAGCCAAAACAAATAAATAAAATACTAAAAATGGTACCTCCCATTACTTCCCAGCACTGATAACATAGCATAGTCCTGACACCATGTGGTCCCTGAACACTTCTCATTCCTACCTTCCTTCTTATCACCATCCATCCTAACCTTCTTTCTATATTTTAAAAAGCAAAGTTGTGTCGGTGTAAGTAGAAGAATCAAAAGCTCCAGGCCAGACTGGACTACCTAAGCGCAGCCTGAGTTACACAGTGAATTCTAGGACACAAGGCTAGAAAACTGACATACTAAGACCCTATCTCAATAGATCATTTCTAGAAAGAAAGAATGAAAGAGAAAAGAATACACTTATTTCATCTCACAGCTATATCTAAAGTGTCTAAGAAGGAACTTGGCATAGATATAGCAAGCTCATTCCTGCGTAACTGAGTCAATAGTTTCCAACCTTCCTAGTGCTGAGACCCTTTAACACAGTTCCTCAAGTTGTAGTGACCCCCAACCATAAACTTATTTTCATTGCCACTTCATAACTGCAACTTTGCTAGTTATGAGTCATAATGGAAATATCTGTGTTTTCAAGTTGGCTTAGGCAATCCCTATGAAAGGGTTATCTGACCCCCAAATGCGTTGCGACCCACAAGTTAAGAACCAATGGACTAAGTGGTACTCTAATAAACCAAGTTCCCTGTGCTCCATGGGAAATTAACCAAGCAGGTTTCTCCCAGGCCTGGGTCTTGAGCTTGGCAAACACAAGTACATTTTCTTTGGTGGATCAGAAAGACAATTCTCATCTTACCTGGCTGTCCCACCAGCCTATTCCCTTTACAACAAAGAGGACCTGGCACTCAACACAGGAAATGCAATACTCACTCTGCTCTACTACCAAGTGAGTCATTCCCATCAACATCCCACACAGCCACACTCACCATAGCAACCACTGGTCCTGAGTGCATGTATTTCACCAGGCCAGTGAAGAAGGGACGGTCCTTCAGGTCAATGTAGTGCTCCTTGAGAAGGTCCTCTGAAGCCTGTTACAGAACAGACAGTGAGAACTGGCTCCAGGTGCCTAAGAACCCTAGGTTTTCCTTTGTTTCTCGAGTCCATAGCAGATTGTATAGCCCTCTATAGAATCATGGCAGATATCTCTTCTTCCATCCTTCACCAAATCTATATCCTCAACAACAAAAATGTCAGGGTAAGAGAGAAAAATGTACTTGGACGCCAGGCAGACTCAAACTACAGTGACAGCCACTTCACTGTCTGTGCTACCAGGCACATTATCTCACCTCCTTAAGCCTCAGTTTCCTCCTAGCAACTATGAAGACAGGAATAAGTTCCTGTCAGAGCTGTCATGAGAGATGGAGAAGAAACATGTACTTAGCATATACTATTTTGGGGGTTCATTTCTTTGCACCTCCAGGACCTAAATTACTATGCAAGTCCACACTTGGCTCTCATTATTCCACCATGCTCTCCCCTTAGCATTAAGTCTACTCCTTATACTTTAAAAAAAAAAAAAAAAAATTATATAAGAACAAAAATTGGTGGCTGGAAAGGAGGCTCGGCAGGCTGCTCTTAAGAGTTTGGTTCCCAGCACCCATATCAGGTGGCTAACATCTTGTAACTCCAGTTTAGGGGTTTTGATACCATCCTCTGGACTCCAGATGCACCTACACACACAGGTTCCACGCTAGCCAAGGCTACACAGTGAGACCCTGTCTCAAAATCAACAACAGTAAAATAATAATATCCTCAACATTGCAAATTAAATTCAATTTAAAATGCACTAGGAGTCATACCCCTGGCTGTCCTGGAACTTGCTGAGTAGAGCAGTCTGGCCTCAAACTCAAGAGATCCGCCTGCCTTTGCCTCCCAAGTGCTAGGATTAAAGGCGTGCACCACCACCACAAGGCCCAGGAGCCAAAATTATATTGCTTTAATGGGAAAAAAAATATTGTCCTCCTAATATATTTGTGTTGAGAATCAGAATTCACATTGCATAAATTTGTCTGAAGATGGTTTCTTGGCCAATCAATCCTTGGTATTTACTGGAATATTGTTATCCGAGCAGGTGGCTCATGCACATAATCCCAGCACTTAGGATGATTGGAAAGGAAGGTTCCAGACCCGCTGTGCCTAATTCTATATGTATATGCTTCACAGGTTTATTAGAATTGTTTCTGTTCTGTCAGGAGCATCCCACAAACAAAACTGCAGTTTTCTCCCTGAAAGTCCCATGTATCAGTCAATGCCTAACTTATGTTAAGCACCATCAGGTAGCAATTAGTAAAGCAAAGACTGTCTTCCCAACAACCTACTTCCAAGGCTGGGGTGGAGGGGTTGGAGAGATAGTCTCTAAAATTATCTGCTTAGAAAGCTAACGACCAAGAGCTCCAAAAACGCCCAGAGCTGAGTCAAAAATTACAGCTCTGCAGTAAGAGGTGGGATTCTGTGTTGTTAAGACTATTTTTGAAAGCCCCAAATGACTCGGTTTGTTCCAAGATTCAGCCAACATGCTTAGTCACTGAGAGGTTTTTAGGTTCCAAGAGACAGGAGACAAGACAAACACAGAAGTTCTGCAGGGTTCCACTATGCTCCGCAGAATCAACACAGGAGGAGCGAGGTCTACTCACCTGCATAAATTTCAAACCAACAAGGCGGAACCCCTTCTGTTCAAAACGCTTGATGATCTCACCCACGAGCCCCCGCTGGACCCCATCAGGCTTGATGGCAATGAAGGTGCGCTCACTGTTGGCCATGGTCCTGGGAACAGATGAACACAGAAATGAAACAACAGGACCGAAAAGACCCTCATCATAATCCTCCTCTCAAGAGGATTACTCCCATAAAACTGGCTACCCCAGGTCTCTCTAGTAAAATCCCAATCGCTGCCCAGTTCACTCACCAGTGAGTTATTATGCTGACGTGGGGAAGGGCACAAAAGCAGAAACTGTTCCAAAAAGCAGAAATCAATTCCATTTGATTTAATAAGCTCCTATTGAGCTCTTCCCTGCACTTAATGCTTTGATGGGATTAAGGAAGGAGATGTAAAACTAAGACACGCTCACTAAAAAGCCACCATTTTTTCCAGTAATACAGGTGAGGGGAAACTGCACTGATGTGGTTTTCCTTCTGAAAGTTACATCTGGCACAAGACACTTCAACCTACAGCATTAGAACCAGCAAGAGCTTTAGAGAATATGTCACGACAATCATTTTCATTTTACAAAAAAAAATGAGACTTCCTGGCCCTCTGTGATTTGGGATACATCTACGGATGTAATGAGAAAAAAACCAAACCTGAAGATGCATGCCTTAGGAAGGCTAAGGCAAAAGGACAGAGAATTAGACCAGCCTGGACAACGTAAGACTCTGACTCCAAAAAAAAAAAAAAAAGAAAACAGAGCCGAGTGTAGGGCACATGTCAATGATCCCAACCTGAACAGGGCTCCATGAGACTGTTTCAAAAACAAAACAAAAGATATAATATCCCTGCTCCATCATGGATGGGGGAGAGACTCAGAAGGCTCTAAACTTAGCCCTGCCTGGGGAGCTATTGGCAATTAATAGTTGGGAGTGGGTGGGTGTCATTTTCTTCAGTGGTACAGCCATGAGTAAACTGTTCATGCTCCAGTAAATAACTCCTCCATCCATCAAGCAAGCAACTCTAATTAAACTCAGTGAAATACACACACACACACACACGCAGAAAATATATAAGACATGTAAATAGGAGGGAACTTGTTGGAAGAAGTTCAGCAGGAGCAGGCGAGAAGAGAGAGTGTAAAGGGGATGAAATTACTAAATATATTACATACATGTATACAATTGTCAGAGAATAAAAGGATAAAAAAAAATTGAAAGTCCATCATGTAAGAATAGCAACTAACATTTATTAGACTATATATTTGGGGAAAGTGCAATGAGTACTGTGACTAACCAGTCAACAGTAAATTATGCGAGAAGCATAGCACAATATCTAACACGGGACATCTTCCAGGAAGGAAGACACCTGGAGAGCATCCATTCCAGAACTTTCCATTTCCAGGGAACACAAGTCTCACAAGATGAAAGGAGACTCCACCTTGAAAGACAATACCTAAGACGACAGCAACACCGGTTCCTGCCTCTGACTTTCTGAACTTGGGTTAACCTCTAATTTTATTCCCTAAGAACGGGACCTGAGACAGCTAGATGGTTCAGTGGGCAGAGGCTTTGTACCACAAGCTTGAGTCTGATCCCTCAAACCCACTCCACGAAGCTATCTTCTGGTGCGCACGCGTGCTAAAGCATGCAAGCAGAAAAACGCAAATAATAACTAATTTTTACTGATCATCTTTGTTGGTGCCTTCCTCCCCTCTCCTGCCCCCCCCGATCTGTGACCTGCATAAAAGGTTGATTTACTCCAGTATCTGTCTTTGATACACTGGGAGCAAAGGGCATGCCCTAAGTGGCAATCACACCTTCCAAAGGGAGACAGACAGAACCCTCAAGACTAGCTGGAGGGTCTCTCAAGGAACGTGGAGCAAGCATAGATTCCTCAGAAACGGCCTACACCTACGAGGCCAGAAACAGCCCCGATGAAACCCTCTGCACACCGATCACACACCAACTTCTCTCTTTTTTTTCTCTTTCTCTCTCTCTCTCTCTCTCTCTCTCTCACACACACACACACACACACACACACACACACACACACACACACATGCACACGCACACGCCATTTATTCAGCGAGTATTGCTGGAGTACCCAGCCCTGTGCCCAGCACGGGTCTGGAAGAAGAGCAGGGTGCAGCCCTGCCGCGCAGCCTCACAGGAACTGCAGCCACGGACAAAGGCGAGCCCACGTGGCGTGTCAGGCTGACAGGTCGGTGCCTGTCCACCGCCACGCCTGCGCGCTTCCCCAGCACCTCTCGGCGACTGCACCCTTTATTTAACGCCCACCTCCCTCTCCGGCCAGCTAGACCCTCGACCTGTCTCCTTCCCTCTCCGCACCCGAACCCCGCTCACCCCTTCCAGCTCTTTAACTCCGGCGGCGTCTGCCTGCACCGGAAACGCGCGCGGCTCGCGCGGAACCCTTTCCTACAGCTCTGATCCGGGGGAGCGCCTTCGGCGGAACACCGCCTGTTCCCGCTTCCTCTGGTGAGTAGGAAGTTATTCTAGGGAACACGCTTCCAGCGTTTAACTTCCGACGCTGGGTGTGGTGTTTTGGGTGATTTTTATTTATTTATTTTATTTTCTCCCAGCTCGCGGCCATCTTTTGTTCCCGGGGACTCACTTCCTCCGGTCCCGAGAAAATTTGGTTTCCCGCCAGGTGGCGCTCACACTGCATGAAGTCACAACTAGAGCTTCAGAGCATGCTTTCGTCCTGTCAAGTAACAAATGTGCTGTGTGTCCGGCTGGCACTATTCTAGAAGCTTAGGGATAAAGCTGTACGCTCGCTAGGGGCTTCTGGTAGGGTTGAGAATTGGGACAGAGAATATAAAGAATATTGATAGTGAGTGCACAGTGTTACGTAAGAACCGAGCGGGGGGGGGGGGGAAATAAGGTTACGAAATCTCTGCAGAAGTGATGCTCAGAGCTACAGGAAGTTTAGTTATAAGGGAGCAAGCCTGTGATTACCTGAGAGCCAAGAAATACAGAGAATGCTGGATGGTAGGAAACGCAGGAGGAGGATATTTCTTATTATCCTTGTTTGCAGGGTCTCGCTAGGGTAGCCCTGACTCTCCTGAAACCCACTGTGGCTGGCCTCCACCCACAGAGATTACCCCTGCCTCTGCCTCCTGAATGCTGGAATTAAAGGCATTTTTATTATTTTTTATTTATTATCTGTAAACGTGTATGTCTGTGTCAGAGCGGTGTCACATTCCCTGGAGCTAGAATTACAAACAGGTGTGAGTGATCTGATGTGAGTGCTGGGAATCAACTTGGGTCCTCAGCAAGAACAGTGTGTGTTCTATAACCACTGGACCAACCCTCCAGGACAGATAATTTTTTTTTTTAATAGAGACTAGGATGTTGTTCATCGAAAAAGGCTTTACCTTAATGGATGCACAGCACTGGGAAGGCTGAGGCAGGAGCATCAAGACTTACAGGCCACCTAGGTGAGAGAGAGAATGTGTCCCTCAAAAATAAATAAAAACAAATAAATAAGTACATAACAAACCCTTGGGAGCACAAGGCAGGCAAAACATCTTTGTGAGTACAAGGCAAGTCTGATTTACACAGTGAGTTCCAGGCCACTCACAGCAACACAGTAAAAGCTTGTCTCAAGAAAGAAAGAGAGAAAGAAAGAATGAAAGAGAGAGAGAGAAAGAAAGAAAAAAAGAGAAGGAAGGAAGGAAGAAAAAAGGCAAACACACAGTCCACTTACAAGATGAGGAAAAAAGACAAGAATAGACATGTCACAGGCAGAATATAAAGATGACAGGGGGCCTGGAGAGACGGTTAAAAGCACTAGCAGCTCTTCCAGAGGTCCTGAGTTCAATTCCCAGAAACCACGTTTTGGCTCGTAACCAATAATAACATCTGGTACCTCTCCTGGTATGCAGATACTTATGCAGGCAGAACACTGTATACATAATAAATAAATAATTAAAAATATTAATAAATAAATAAAGATGACAGGAAAAAGGAGGAAAAAGAAGATAGAATATCTGTTTAGAATGCACAAGGCCCCAGGTTCAATCCCCAGCATTACCTTCACTGGGTATAGTGATCACTATATGACTATGAATGAATGCCTGTCAACCCAGCACTTCTAAGGGTAGGTGCAGGAAGATCAGAAGTTCAAGGTCATCCTTAGCTACACAGTGAGTTTGAAGTCAGTCTAGACTTACCCAAAGAAAAAAAGAAAAGAAAAGAAAAGAAAAGAAAAGAAAAAATATCAGACCTAGTGGCTCATGCCTGTAATCCCAGCCCCCTCAAGGCTGAGGAAAGAGGACCACCTTGAATTCAAGACCAGTTTTGCTTATGTGGGGATTTCCAGACCAGCACACACACCAAGATGTTTAACTTCATTAGCCAGTAGAGAAATGTGAATTAAAACCATGATGAGGTATCAGTACACTTAGAAAAATGGTAAAATAAAACATAGCACTCTCAGCTTTTGGAAAGCTCAGTCAGGAGAACTGAAAATTCAAGGCCAGCCTGAACTACAACAGCAAGAAAGTGTCTTAAATCTTGGTATTTGAGAGGCAGGGAGAGCAGGAGCTCAAGGTAACCCTATGCTGCTTAATAAATTTGAGCTTGGGTTACATAATACCCTTTCTTTTAAAAAAAAAAATCCCTAGAAAAAAGGAGAGCCCAATTAGGACAACACCAAATATTACTGATGAGATGAAATAGATTTTTTTTTAATTTTAGTTTTTTGAGACAGGGTTTTTCTGTGTAGCCTTGGCTATCCTGGACTCCCTTTGTAGACCAGGCTGACTTAGAACTCACAGAGATCTGCCTGCCTCTGCCTCCCTGAGTGCTGAGATTACAGGTGTGTGCCACCGTGGCGTGGCTCCTAGATCTAGATATTTTTTAAAGATTTATTTATTTTATTACATATACAATGTATATGCCTGCATGTACACCTGAACATCAGAAGAGGGCACCAGATCTCATTATAGATGGTTATGAGCCACCATGTAGTTGCTGGGAATTGAACTTGGGACCTCTGGAAGAGCAGCCAGGGCTCTTAACCTCTGAGCCATCTCTTCAGCCCTGGATCAAGATTCTTAGTGGGAATTTATTCTGACTAAAAAAATTCACTTGCTGGTTGGAGATTCAAACAGTGGTAGGACATTTACCTAGCATATACAAAATCATGAGCTCAGTCTTTTTGTTGTTGTTTTGTTTTGTTTTGTTTTGTTTTGTTTTGTTTTGAGACAGTGTGTCTCTTTGTAACAGCCTAGCTGTCCTGGAGCTTGCTCTGCAGACCAGTGGCCTCAAACTCACAGAGATCTGCCTGCCTCAGCCTTCTGAGAGATGGGATTAAAGGCATGTACAATCACCACCCAGCCCCTGAGCTCAATCTTTTTTTTTCTTAATAATTTATTTTTTTTATGTGTGAAGGTGTCAGATCCCTTGGAATTGGTGATACAGACAGTTGTGAGCTACCATGTGGGTGCTGGGAATTGAACCCGGGTCTTTTGGAAGAGCAGACAATTCTCCTAACCACTGAGCCATATCTCCAGCCCCAAGATCAATCTTATATTGAAGAAAAAATCCACCTGTAGCTATACTCCTATAGTCCCAACTACTATGGAAGCTGAATCAAAAGAATCACTTTAGCTCAGGAGTTCAAGGCCAGCATGGGAAACACAGTGAGACCTTCACCTCTGAAAAAAAAAAAATACCTAGATTATAGCAAAAATTAAATACAGAATTATTTAATTTATGTAACATTCTTTGGGTGTGGTGGATCAGATCTAAGATCTCACAGATGCTAAGCATATATGCTACCACTGAGCTCCATATATCTCCAGCCTGTATAGAACATTGTTAAATAACGAGAAATAGAGAATGAATTAGCAGTTACCAGATGCCAAGGGAATATAAAGGATACAAATATGTTAACAAAGAAGTACCATAAGGAAATCCTGAACTAAATGACTGTATTAAGGGATTGAGAATAAGGTGCTCAGACTTACCTTTTGCCTCAATCTTTTTTTTAAACATTTATTTACTTTTATGTGCATTGGTGTTTTGCCTGCATGTATGGCTGTGTGAGGGTGTCAGATTATGGAGTTACAGACAGGAGTGAGCTGCCGTCTGGATTCTTGGATTTTGAACCTGAGTCCTCTGGAAGAGCAGCCAGTACCCTTAACCACTGAGACTTCCCTCCAGCCCCTTGCCTCAATCTCGTGAGTGCTAGGACTACCGATGTGAGCTATGATGCCTAGCCTATTTCAGTAAACTTTGGTTGTTGCTTTTGTTTCTTGGTTGGTTAGTTAAATAAATAGTTAGTTAAATAAATAAATAAATAAATAAATAGTTAAATAGTTAAATAGTTAAATTGTTGGTTTTGTTTGTAATTTGTTTGGAAACAGGGCATCATGTAGCTCAAGCTGGCCTCAAATTTATTATGTCACTGGCCTAGTTCTGTATCTTGACTATGATGGAAATTGCCTAAATGAACACATAAAACAAAGCTTTAAGAAATCATAAGTACATGACTTAAATGAGCACAGGGAAGACTGGTGGGAGCAAAATTCTCGCTGGTACCAAGAATGAGAGTTTTATGGGTTTGTTTTTTGTTTTGCTTTGGTTTTTGTTTTCCTTGTTGTTGTATGGAGGTTCTATGTAGCATTTAATTCCTTATGTAGCCCAGGCTGGCCTCCAATTTACAACAGTTCTTCCCTAGCCTCCCTGGTGCTGGGATTATAGGTTTGAGCCACCATATCCACCTGATTTCCTGTTCTTAGGTTTTGTTGCTTATTGTTTGTGACAATTTCTCTTGTAACCCAGGTTGGCCTCAAAGTTACTAGACAGCCAAAATGACCTTAAACTCCAGTCCTCCTGTGTCTACCTCCCAGATGCTGGGGTTACAGATATCTGCTCCCACACTGAGGCTGAGACAAAAGGAACACAAGTTCAAGGTGTGCTGGTGCTGCCGAGTGACTTTAAGCCAGCCCAGGCACTTTTGTGAGACCATGTTTCAAAATGAAAAGTACAAAGACAGCTAGGGATGTCAGCTAGGGAGTGGGGGGCTCATACAGCATGTGCAAGCCTCTGGCTCAGTCACCAGTACAACAAAACTCTCAAGCTTTTCTTCACAGTGGTTTGTCTTGAAACCCTGTCCCGTGGTATAAATGAACATCCTGGCCAAATCTTAGTAGACAGCGAGGAGTCCCTTTTTCCTCAGCCAGTGGCAGAATAAGAAAACTTACAGGCGGTTGAGACTAAAGCAGTCGTCCAGGTGACAGAGATACTGACTAGCAGTGCGCCACGGCACACGCCTGCAATCCCAGCACTCAAGGAGGCAGAAGCAGGCAGATCTCCGTGAGTTCCAGGCCAGCCTGGTCTACAAAGGGAGTCCAGGACAGCCAAGGCTACACAGAGAAATCCAGTCTTGAAAAACGGAAAAGGAAAAGCAAGCAATATTGACTGAAG